TCCCAGTAGTCTGGCCTCACGGCAGAGCACACATCCAGGACCTGGGCGCACGCGTGTTTTGGGGAGAGGGGTTGTTGGTGCGCGTGCGCGCGCGCGCGTGTGTGTGTGTTTGTGTGTGTGTGTGCACGTGTGCATGTGCCTGTGCGTGCAGGGTGGGTGGGTGGATGGGTGGGTGGGTGGTGTGCGCGGGCAGGCGTGCGCATGCGTGCATGGGTGTGGCCGTGTGCTTCGTAGTGCTTAGGGCTGACATCGCTAACAAGAGGGTACCCCCGACTGCCGTCAGCTGCGGAGAGGCGGTTCCCGCCGAGCGGCGTGATGGCGTTTGATGTGTCACAGAGGCCCCGCACGCGCGCCCTGTGCCGCTGCAGGAGGGGTTTTGCGACTGCGACTGTGGCTCCCCTAGGCCGTCACCCATGCAGCTCACCCAGTGGGTTGGATCGACCTGCTGCAGGCTGGCCGCGGGGATCGGGAAGGTGGCCCCAACAAACATCACTCCAAACATGGCTGGCACTACTTGTGCCAAATAGCAGGCGCACAGATGCGTGCGCGACACCACGGTGGAAATGGCGGCCGGGGTGGCGTGTGTGAGCGTTGCTGACAGCACCGCACTGCCGTCTACACTGCGCGGGGTGCACACATGCTCGCGTGTGTACCTCGGCTAAGCTGGATTCTCAAGAAAATTGATGAGTCATCGTGCCCGGTTTACTACCATACATCGCTCAGATCGACCTGAGACTACGGCACCGCTCTGCAACGATTGCGGCAGGTGTCAAGGGATAGTCAAGGAAACAGGCCTAGCCAAAAGTTATTCTTTACACGTCGGCTGACCCCCATCTACCATGCAAGAAGGATGGCATGGCTACCAGTGCGCTACACGCTGTCACCTCACCTGTGAGCTGCGTTCACCCGTCCTTGAAGAAGACAGCTGCGGGCACACCGCGGCCGATTGTAAGCTGGATGGCACAGATAAGTAGCAGGTGAAACTTGTAGATGAGCCAAGCAATTGCAGGACTAGACAGCAGCATAGTCACCTTGCGGCAGGTTAACCCAGTCATCAAGTCATTATTCGTCAAGGTTGGGGCGGCACCCCGAGAGACCAGGGGCTCATTTACGTGGACTAGGCAATCACATGTGTTTTGCAATGGATGCCCCATACCAAATCTGTTTTGATAGTTACTGAAGTTTTACAGGGCCAACTAGGAGCAGAATGCGATCAAACAGGGGTGAGTGCAGAACTAGACATTACGGCAGTCAAGTGAGTGGGCGTGGGGCAGCACAAGCAGTAGGTGCATGTTTTGGCGGCCGCAAGTGCGCAGGGTGCACGACCTTGCTGTGGCGTACGGGTCGTGATTTAGAAAGATTATGTTGAGGACCACGTATGGCAATAGCATCACCCAAACAAGCAGACTGCTGGATAACGCAGCTTAGACATCCACTGATATATGTGTGGCCGCATGGTCGACCCTGCCCGCTCAAGCGCTGTCAGCCATTCCATGAGAAAAACTCAGGAAAAGGGCTTGCTGGCGGGCAGCAACGCGCAGCGGCTTTGTCAACTCCAGTGAGCCTCACCGCTCGCCACGTGTCGTGTGGGAGCACAGCATCAAACCATGGGCGGCGAGTTCAACCTGACCTGGATTCGAATGACCAGCGCGTGCGCACGACGGCAGGCACGATGTCTACAGGAGCTCAAGTACACGCGCACGTCCTGGCGCAACACCTGTTCCAGGCTCGCTTCGCTGCTAAGTTTCGTTGCTTCACCGGCTGGAACCCCGCAACGCCGCAATTGGAGGGCTGCGAAGGCATGCGGCAGGAGCGGACAGGTTAATGAGGGGGTGGGTCAAGGACAGCAGGGTGTGAGATCCAAGGGGGAAAGTGGCTTCCTAGCCCAACAGGTGTAATTCATTCCTGCAGCCACCTACCACTGTAGATGAGGTGGGGCGGAGCTGCTGGGGCATGCATGTGCTGCACTGGGCGCGCCTGGGGTGGTGGCGTGTGGCTGTGGGGCGTTGGTGGTGTCACGCAGGCCTCAACCCTGTGGTCATGGAGTGCCCGGGGCTGCGGTGAGCCTGGACCGGCAGGCAGCAGCTCTGCATCCTCCACACAAGCAGGAAGCCTGTGTTGAAACCCTTGTGCCGCTAAACTCAGTGCCACAATAGCCAGAGGTGTAGGTCTTCGTGTTGAAGGTTGCCTAGCCCTTGCCTGCCAGCTGCACCCCAACCTTCCCAATGCCATGTCTTTGCCCAATCTAAAACGCCTGGGCTCACGGCAAACTCGGTAGGATGGGGCGGTGCGCCAGCGGGTGCGCAGGTGGATTCGCTGTGTGCACAGCCCGTGTCAGGCCACCATCACAACGCCGGGTTGCCGCAGCTCACCCAGCTCTAGAATGGCATCATAACAGCTGTTCAAACGCCGGAGCGTGCGCATGCTGCATACCGGCACGGATCGGGGGCGCAGCAGGGGGCGGGGCAGGCTGGTGACGCGCGAGGGGACCGGCGAGTCGCATTCGCACCGCCGCCGCCGGCGCTACGCGGCCTGAATGCTTGTACAGCATCAAAAAAAATGCCGTTGGTACCGTGTCTTGACAGCGTCTATCGCGCCTAGCTCGCATAAAAGCATCCTCTGGGCCAACGCGCGATCTAGCGGCCACGCAGCAAGCCCTGAGTGCGTTGTATAAGTGCATGTCTAGAGAGAAGCCCTGGGTGATTCTGCCGCCCAGTATCCAGAGAAGTCGATCCTGGCTACGTCACACTTGGCGGTCTAGTTCCCCACTCGGGCTCAAAAGCCGGCAAGCCCCTCCCTCGGCACTATTCGTTCGCGTACAGGAGAGTCACGGGGCCCCAGTAGCTCCCCAAAGGCTCTCCTGCTAGAGAGAGAGTGTGTGTGCAACTAGAGAGAGGTATACATTCGTCTCGGCGTCCACCGATCCCTCATCCCGGCTTGGCCTGTCACCGCGTCGTTCGCCCCGATCAAAAATAGACTATGGCTTGCTCATCAGGCCTCCGATTCGGGGCTTCTCGCGCGCCGGTGGCTTCGATCCGGAGAAGGAAGGCATCCGTCATCCGTGCCATGGCGCCTGTGTGCGCGCCTGTGGCTTCCCCAACCGAACTTCAGCAGGCTACATCGCGGGCCTCAGTCGTGCCTGGGGCCTCCGCGGTCGCGGAGGCGCCGCTGGCCACCAACGCGCTGGAGCTGCCGCTCGCGCTGTCCCTGACGACCACGGACCTCGATGCCCCTGCTCCCCTGACACCCGCCGAGGGTGCGTCTGCTGCGCGCGCCGCGGTCGAGTATGCTGCAGAGCTGCTGATGGCACCCTACCGGGCATACTCGCACGCCCTCGAGACGAGGCCGCTGCTCACCAAGGCGATGACCAGGTGCGGGTGCGAGAGGCGCGCCACTAGCGCCGCACGCACGAATTTAGTGTGCACGCTCGCTAGACCGCACCGCGCTTCCCGGGCCGGCATCGCCGACTACGTTTAAGGCTGGCCGGTTCCTGAGCGGTCGCCTTTGCATGACGTGCTGGGTTTGCATGCATGCGTCCCACTCCTACAACCGATTTAAACCGCCCGCAACTGACT